GTCCTTTCAGCTGGCTCTATCACTCACAAAATCACTGTTTACGTCCTGTTAGAATAGTATTTTCCTCTCACAACAATCAACCGGAACATTATTTTTCAGTCCTGTCGAACAAGCCGTATTTCACCCTCCAATTAAGGCCTTATTTTCGCCCTCAACCAACTAAACCACCACTATTTATATCTCCTAGAAAACAAATCATAGAGTTCCATCATATCGAAAGAAAAACTATAGATTATAGGACATTCCCACATACAGATTCTAAGAATCTCAAAGTCTAATGAAGCACAGATCACGGGCCCTGTATAAAAAGAGCACCGGCCAATGGCAGAAGCGCCGTCCAACCCAAACCCAGCCCCCGTTCCGTGCAAGCACCGAGTCATATGAGGAGGCCGCCATTTTCAGATGCAAGGCAGCAACTCGTAACAATCACGAACCCAACCTGGCTCTGCCCCTCCGCAGCTACGAAGAAGGTGTCGCCAAGGCGCAAGCCAACGGCCCTGTTCCCCGATCTGAATTTTGACTGAAACTTATTGAAAAATATTTTTTATTTTTTCGGCTAAATTGTTGTGAGAGAAAAATACTGTTTTATTAAAAAAAAACTAAATATGGAGTAAGCCGAACGGACCTCGGTACGCTTCATGCTACGCCCATCCCCAAAACCCAATCCCAATCCCAGGGAAGAAGAAAACAGAAGGAACCGGAGGAAAAGGCAGAAAAGGAAGATCACTGTCGCTGGGCTGGGTGCCCCGTTAGATTCCTTCCAGAACTGATACCCCCATATTTTTTTCTCTAGAGAAAAGCTACTCCTACTCGCAGGGGGACCCGGGGGCGAGGGGAAAAGGCAACGGCGGGGCGAGGCGTGTCCCCGTGGCGTCGCGGCCGTGGGGGGCACGGCGGCGGCAGCGTAACGTGCCCCAGGCCCCGTCCCCACGGCACACACGCTGTCCCGTCGTGTCTCTCCTCCACGGCCCCAACCCCAACCCCAACCCGCCCGCCCGCCGCTTTTCTGAGCTGTGTCGACGTAACGCAAGCCGTCCAGGACTCCAGACATCCTCCGGTCGTTAGTAGGCTGGGGCGCCATTATTGCCGAGACCCTGCGTAATCCACGAGTATCGCTGTGCTACGCCCGTCCATCCACTTGCCTGAGAATGACACTCAGTACGTTGTTGGTCTACAGCCCTACTCCAAACGCCAAATGGGCATGATTTAGAAACACTCCTTCAGTCCTTCCGACCAGAGAGAGAGAGAGAGATAATTTTAGCATGGCACCGTGTCAAAACATTATAGATAGACACTGTTAATATTTACGATACCAAACAAATACCATTAGATTGTTATAATTTTATAGTATATCTAGTTTGTGCCATAAATATTTTTATCTTTTTTTGTAAATTTGATAAAATTTGAGATAGATTCACTAAGAAAAAAGTAATATTTTTTTAAGACGGAGGTAGTACTCTCTAGTACTGTACTACTACACCACTACTAGTGGCCGGCCAGTTCTTGATTTGGGAGATCTTTCTTTGGAAAGTAAAATAGTCACATGTGATTGGATTGTGAGTGTCCGGGCGGGACTAGGATTTATTTGGAAAAGAATATGTACGTGGGCCTGTGTGCATTCACAGGCCAGCTCGCGCGGCTGATACGCCAGCTGGGCCTCAGGGTAGAGCTCCGAAATTTGGACGCAGGTGTAGTTGGGTTGGGTCTCACGAGAGTGGGCCGTTGGACCGATTGGAAGGAATGTCCGTAAGCCCAGCTGCAGAGAGTAGCCGTGCCTGGGCGACGCAGATTTTCTTCAGCTACGTTTTGGCATGGTGTTTCAGTGTTTGGCTTGAGGAGTGTCCTTTTAAAGTTAGTTTAGGTGCTAATTTAACCAAGTCGTTCTTGGGCAAGTGTATATGGATATAATTCAACTATTAGATAAATTGAAGAAACAAAATGTTTTTGGGTGCCAGATGACTCTTGCCACTTTGCCAGTGTTTCCAAGAGACGTCCCTGTTACAACTTACTCATTATACAGAGTTACAGGCACATGAGGTTTCCACTTTCCAGTTGGTTCTTTAAATTTGAGTGTGGTGCACCTGTAAATTCGGGGTTCCCACTTACAGAGTTACGTGGGCTAGTTGCATACGAACATGATCTCTGACACTGTATGAATATGACACGGTCAGGGTCAGATCTTCGGTTTGTCAGTACTCTGCTCGCTCTACTGATATCCGATCCTGAATTGCACATGAGAATCGATCGAAAGTAGCCGGACGCGATGGCCGATGGAGCACCAGCGAGCCTGCGTGTGGTTGGCATCTAAAATTTATCATGCCAAAAATTTAGCAAGCCATGATTTTGACTAGTATTTAGTTTACTATCAAAACTTATTAAATTATCACATTTAGTTTGCCAAATGTATGACAATTTTTTTGTCCAACTTTTAGCTAGCCAAATCTTCAACATGGTAAACTTTGGAACTCAACCAATCAGGCCCAGCATCTTAATTATCATGCTGTCACTGCAGCCGAAGATTATCCAGACCGGCTGATCGCCACCAGGCTGCTAGCTTGAGAGTTATCCTCCTCGCCGTCTACATCGGCGTCGTTGTCTACCTACGATCCAACCAGGGCACCCCCGATGGACTTGGAGAGTTGTACTAGACTACTACTCAAGACTAGTAGTGCAGTCTGCAGTGCAGTAGATGACTCCACAAGATGAAGACGTGCCCCTGCACATAAACGGTCGTCACTTATCGGCGGCTGTGCGTAACTGCATATAGCCCTGAAGGCATGCGGTTTGGAGGTTTGAACCGGACCTCTCGACGTCTGATCGGCACGGTCTGGCACGTGTGCTCTTCAATGCCTGCAGCAGGCCTCCGTTCCGATTCCATGGAATGACGTGCACGGCGCCGGTCCGATCGATCCTGACGTTTGCAGCTCCGATACGGGGTTGCAAGCTGCTTTAGTGCTTTGCAAGCTCCACCTGATGGCCACTTGAAGTCAGAGGAACCAATATAATTCATTTCAATGCTCGACGTGTCTCAGCGAGGTTCAATTTGGGGAAAGCTAGCTAGTATACACATCTGTTCGGGCGCCTTAATTCACGCACAAAGGCACTAGAGCTCGCCAGCTCGGGCAGCGAAAGCCATGACGCCACCACCAGCACCAACCATGGCCGCCGTCCACGGTGGGCGCCGCCGGCACGTCCTCCTGTTCCCGCTCCCGTCCCAGGGCCACATCAACCCCATGTTCCGGCTCGCCGGCCTCCTCCACGCCCGCGGCTTCACCATCACCATCTTCCACACCCAGTTCAATGCCCCAGACCCGGCGCGCCACCCGGACTACCGCTTCGTCCCCGTCCCCGACGGCAGCCCCGTGCCCGTCGCCATGAAGGACGCCGTTGCTCAGATCATTGAGCTCGGCGTCGCGTGCGAGGCCGGCTTCCGGGACCGCCTCGCCTCCGTCCTGGAGGAGTACTCCAGGGACGCCGTGGCGTGCCTCGTCGCCGACACACACCTGCTGCCGATTTTCGAGGTGGCTGCGAGGCTCTCCGTGCCCACGCTGGCGCTGCGTACCGGCAGCGCCGCCTGCTGTGCGTGCTTCCTCGCGTACCCGATGCTCTTCGACAAAGGCTACCTCCCCGTGCAAGGTGGCATGCTAATTTTTCCCGCGTGCTCTGGTCCTGTCCATATAGGCATATATATTTCTAGTTCGTAGGAGCACCATGCATGCTTGATGCTTTCTTGGATCAACGTGCACCTCTCGCTTGTCCATGGATGCAGAGTCGCAGCGTGACATGCCGGTGCTGGAGCTGCCGCCGTACCGAGTGCGCGACCTGCCAGTTATCGGCGAGGATGCCAGCGGCCGGGTGAGCGAGCTTATCTCCCGCGCCATGACTGCCGTGAAGACCTCCTCGGGTCTCATTCTCGACACGTTCGACGTGCTGGAGCGCCGCGAGCTGGAGGGCCTGCGGCGGGACCTCGCCGTGCCGGTGTTCGACATCGGCCCGCTCCACAAGCTCTCCCCTGCCGTCTACAGCAGCCTGCTGCTCCCGGACCGGAGCTGCCTGGAGTGGTTGGACGCGTTCCCGCCGGAATCGGTGCTCTACGTGAGCTTCGGCAGCGTGGCCTGCATGAGCCTGCGGGACCTGGTGGAGACGGCGTGGGGCATTGCTGGCAGCGGCGTTCCGTTCCTCTGGGTGGTCCGGCCGGGCATGGTCAGCGGGTCCGCCTACCACCACCAGCAGCAGCTCCCCGAGGGGTTCGAGGCTGCGACGCACGGGCGCGGGATGGTGGTGACGTGGGCGCCGCAAGAGGAGGTGCTTGGCCACCGCGCCGTGGGCGGGTTCTGGACGCACGGTGGGTGGAACTCGACGGCGGAGAGCATCTGCGAAGGGCTGCCGATGCTGTGCCGCCCCTACTTTGGTGACCAGATGGGAAACGCGAGGTACGTGGAGCATGTGTGGAGGGTGGGCCTCGAGGTGGGCGGCGACCTCGAGAGGGGCAGCGTTGAGGCGGCGATCCGCCGGTTCATGACTGGCGAGGACGGCGCGGAGATGAGGACGAGAGCCGGTGAACTGAAGAAGGCGGCAGCGGAGTGCACCGGAGAGGGCGGGTCATCGTGTCTTGCCATTGATAAGCTCATCACGCACATGATGTCCCTGTAAAATTCGCACGAGTCTGAATCACGAAATTTGGCTGAACACCTTGTGGCTCAGATCAAGCTCCAGCCAAAACTCAGATCAAGCTCCTCGTAAGTACGCGAACAGCTTTCATGCCGTTTTTTGTAAAGTCACTGGCAAGTGAGTTTGATTATAACTCTGCAGTACGTAGATTTACAGTCAGAGGAACCAATTCCATATTCGACGTGTCTCAAGAAGTTTCATTTCGTTTTTCATGCCGTTTTTTGATTATAATAACTCCCCAAGGGAAGGAGCTGAAACGCTGAACTACTGTCGCTCTCGCCACAGGCGTTCAGCCGAATTTCGGGATTCAGGTTCGCGTGTCTAGAATTTTACAGTGACATCATGTGCGTGATGAGCTTATCAAAGGCAAGGCGCGACGACCCGGCCTCGCCGGTGCACTCCGCTGCCGCCTTCTTCACCTCGCCGGCTCTCGCCCTCGTCTCGTCGGTCATGAGCCGTCGGATCGCCGCCTCGACGCGGCCCCTCTCGAGGTTCCAGCCGCAGTGCGTCCAGAACCCGCCCACGGCGCGGTGGCGCAGCACCTCCTCCTGCGGCGCCCACGCCACGACCTTGCCGCGCTCGCGCGTCGCGGCCTCGAACCCCTCGGGGAGACGGTGGTCGTCCGCGGACTCGTGGACCATGCCCGGCCGGACCACCCAGAGGAACGGCACGCCGCTGCCGGCGATGCCCCACGCCGTCTCTACCAGGTCCCGCGGGCTCATGCAGGCCACGCTGCCGAAGCTCACGTAGAGCACCGATTCCGGCGGGAACGCGTCCAACCACTCCAGGCAGCTCCGGTCCGGGAGCAGCAGGCTGCTGTCGACGGCAGGGGAGAGCTTGTGGAGCGGGCCAATGTCGAAGACCGGCACAGCGAGGCCCCGCCGCAGGCCCTCCAGCTCGCGGCGCTACAGTGAGTCGAACGTGTTGAGTATGAGGCCCGAGGAGGTCTTCACGGCAGTCATGGCGTGGGAGATAAGCTCGCGCACCAGCCTGAGCCCGCCGTCATCCTCACCGATGCGCACTCGGTACGGCGGCAGCTCGGTCACCGGCATGTCACGCTGCGACTCTGCATCCATGGACAATCGAGGTGCACGTTGATCCAAGAAGGCATCAAGCATGTGCTCCTACGCGAACTGAAAGTAGAAACGTATATGGACAGGACAAGAGAGCACACGCATGCCTTGCACGGGGAGGTAGCCTTTCTCGAAGAGCATCGGGTACGCGAGGAGGCACGCGCAGCAGGCGGCGCTGCCGGTGCGCAGCGCCAGCGTGGGCACGGAGAGCCTCGCGGCCACCTCGAAAATCGGCAGCAGGTGTGTGTCGGCGACGAGGTACGCGACGGCGTCCCTGGAGTACTCGTCCAGAACGGAGGCGAGGCGGTCCCGGAAGGCGGCCTCGCACGCGACGCCGAGCTCCAGGATCTGAGCGACGACGTCCTCGATGGCGACGGGCACGGGGCTGCCGTCGGGGACGGGGACGAAGCGGTAGTCCGGGTGACGCGCCGGGTCCGGTGCATTGAACTGGGTGTGGAACACCGTGATGGCGAAGCCGTGGGCGTGGAGGAGGCCGGCGAGCCGGAACATGGGGTTGATGTGGCCCTGGTACGGGAGCGGGAACAGGAGCACGTGCTGTCGGCGCCCACCGTGGACGGCGTTGCTACGTGCGGCCATGGTTGGCGCTGGTGGTGGCGTCATGGATTTCGCTGCCCGAGCTCTAGCTCTAGTACCTTTGTGCGTGAAGCGGTGAAGGCACCCTACATAGCGAGCTATCTATCTCCTCGTGTAGATGGTGTTTTTTCTTTAAAAAAAATCTCGATACCGGAAGGCCCAACAATTTATAGAGAACTGCTTGGGTACTCCTCAAAAAAGTTGTATGGATATCAAAGCAGTGCATCAAACTAATTAAGGTTTGGTAGAGCTACGAGCAACTCCTCCGCGCACTATAACAAGAAGCTAAAACCGTTTGAAGTAGGAGTGTTAAACATGTCTAGATATTTTCGTAACTATTTTTCCGTCTGGGTCACGTTTCAACCCGGCTCATCCAACCCAGGCTCGAGTCCAGCGCTGACCCAAAGCCAAATTTCGCTCCCATCCCCTTTGTTCCGTGACGCTCTGTTTACTCGTTGATTCGTTGCCTCGTTGGAGATAACTCCTCCTCCTCCCATTACCGAGCAGCTGGAGCAGCGGCTACCAGCGGACCAAGCCAACGGTGACACCTTCATCCCCCTCTCGTTTTGTCCTGTGTTGGAAGTCGACAAGGAGGTCTAGCGGCGCTGTTTGATTTTGGCGTGTGGAGGCCCGCGCCTCCATAGTCCGTCCACGTCCTCGACGGTGGTGCCCCGTTCTCGATGGACAGTCCCATTCCAGTTGGCATGATGGATGTCCGTTGCACGGCGGCAACCTGATCTAATAAGGCAAACTCATTGCTCATTAAGGCCGCATTTGGCAACCTAATCTAAAGGCAAACTCATCGCTCATTGAGGCCCATTTGGTATAGCTCAGGTAGAGCGTTTTTTTCGCATCAGGTCTAAGAGCACCTTCACAAGTGGAGCTAAAACAGCTTTGATAAAATATTTGATAAAACAACTTTTCACTGTAAATAAAAAAATGACTATAACGCCCTTATCTTCTAATTTTTATGTATTTCTCTCTTTCTTGTTCTCTCGACCATTCCACCCCACCTTTTCTCAGTGTGAATAGAAAAGAAAAATGGCTATATTGCCCTGGTCTTTTTTCTTTACTAGGTAACGTGCCCGTGCGTTGCTACGGGGTAACTAACAATTTATACTAAAAACATATGGATCGCACGATAAGATGACAATACTGTTAAATTAAATACCAACGTTAAAGTGACATTTAATCCAAAAAGCAAAGCTCATGAATTTAACACAGTCACGGAGTGTGCGTGCGTCATTGAGCTCACAAACTCTAGAGCTTCCGGAGATTGGGTCTAAATCCAACCTAGAGCCTCGGAACCTGCATCTTTTCTTAGACGGGCTTCACTTCTCTTAGCGCGTGTGGTAGCAATATCAACGATCTCCGGTCGATGGACCAAGTCACGTATGGATCCCCATACAATAGCTCGAGACATGTAAATTTTGTTCTCCTTGTACTTGGATACACTTGTTCCACTTCGAAACTTTCATTGAAATGTTTGAACCGAAGCGGTTGTCGATCACCGATGTCCCTCACCCTAGACCACTCCGGAGTCGTAGATGGTCGTAGAGAGAATTGCACTTGTAGATCGCTACTTTGTAGGTGAAGCTGTCAGTATCTCGTGGAACGTGCTCACCATGTCACCCACAATGTGCAAGCTCACCGTTTGATTCGGTGTAGTCATGGTGGCGTGCCCCCCCGCAGGTGGCGGCAATGATGGCGATAGCAGCTGTCGCGCGGTTGGAGTAGCCCAGCCGGGCGCTTTATATGCACGGAGATTTCTCCACCAAGCATTGATCGATCGCCAAGAACATGTCTTGGCAAGTGATCGATGGACCCTACGGAGAACTCCGGTTTGGTGTCGAAAGGAAACATCCATGCGTTGTCGACTCAACCCCGCGAAACGACCTCCTCCTCCGTGGAGCATCCAAGCATGGCCATGGCCACACATCTACCTTGTATCGGCGGCGTCGGTAGCGGCGAATCGAGAGCACGATCTCACGGAAGAACACGTCCCTCATGTCTTCTAGCTTGATGGCTCTGTGCTGCGCATCTGCGTCCCCTGTGAGCCGTTGGTGGATGATGGAGGACCCATCGGTCGTGGACCCTAGACACGCGTTCGATGAGGATGCCGCCGCCGCGTGTTCGCGCTTCTTGGCGGGTGCTCTCAACACGGGGCACGGGCACCGACGCATGGATTCCGCTAAGTCAAGTCGGCCATGAGTCGTGGATCCCACGCCGCCTCATCCATGAGCGCCACCACCCATATGAGGAGCCGCGACGCCACCTTGCCACGCCGTCGTCGGGTAGCGTCTTGGACAAGACCTTCTTCTCGGACGCAGAGAAGCCGGCGTGGTCAATCGAGTCGGGTCGAACGGGGAGCGTGAGGGAGCGGCTCGAAGGTCGCGAACGGGACGGCGGCGCACCATGGGGAGCAAGCGGATCGGAAGGACGTCGCGTCGTGGCCTGACGTGAGACGCTGCCCGATGGACTCGAAGAGATCCTCTGGCAGGCCGGATCTCCAGTCATGGAGAGGTAGGGACCTTCTCTTGTGATTGGGAGGTTGAGCCATGGAAGACAGATGACATCAACTATGGTTCACGCAAGAAACAGCAAGCGAGGGCGATGGAACACGTGAGCGTGAAACCAAATGAAAGGAGAAAAAATCTATCCCTTTTGCAAATGCAAAGAGGGGAATTAATTAAGTGTAGCCAGATTTGGCGAGGTTCTCAGAAATGCAAAGAGGTTCCTTTTGTCTTAATTCTCTTTCCTTCTGTGTTAATTCTCTTTCCTTTTGCTCATTGCCATGTATGCTGGTGCATGCAAACATGCAATGTGTATATGGATAGCACAATAATTTTCTACTTCCTATTTTGCCGTGATTCCTCTATCACATGACAGGCAATATTTAATCACGGATAATGGCACGATCAATCAGTAATTAAGATGGCGTGGGATCACAGGCGTGGGCAGACGGACGAACCAAAACAAATGTTGCACAAAAAAATATCCACACTTTGTTCTTTTTAGTTGTAGGAGATTTCTCTCTCTTATTCTCTTTCCTGTTCCACCTGCCCCTTCTCATTGAAAACTAAAAAGGAAAGGGACTATAACACTCTTATCTTCTTTTTTTCTTTATTTCTCTCTCTCTCTCTTATCCTCTTGCCCGTTTAGCCCCGACCCTTCCCTCGTCATGGGCCTCGACGCCTCCACCCTACCCCTAGCACTGTGCTCACCTCCGCTTTGCCCCTAGCGCCTACACTTTGCCTTCGTGCCGCCCCCCGTGTCGCCACTTCCCCTCGGCGTAGGTCGTGCTCATGCGATGCACCTTGGGGCAAATGAACCACGTCAAGCGTTGGGCCTACAGGAGCCAGGAGCGAGAGGGAGCCCAACGAAGCTACCCTTTTCAACTCAGGCTCCCTCTCCTCACCCCTCTTAGCGTGTGTCGGTGTTTTGTAAACCGGACTAGTAAATTTATACGATTATTGCGCTGCTCTAGGAAGACGATGGCAGCATCCAAAAGACACGAGGATTTATACTGGTTTAGGCCGGAGCCCTACGTCCAGTCTCAGAGATGATCGAGTACGTGTTCCTCGCATGAATGCTCTGAAGTTCTTACATTGGAGGGTGCAAGAATGGTGGAAGAGGTTGGAGAGCTAGAGCTAGGAGATGAACTGCCTAAAGAGAAGCTTTAGGAGTCCGGAGATGGTGAAGAATGAGAGAATGAGTTGAAAGCTTGTGGGAAGGATGCCCTGGCTACCCTTATATAGAGTTCGGGGCCAGGGCATGTACAAAGAAGTAGGTTCTCCCGCCCATGAGGTCGTGAGTCTGAGGGAGGAGCCTAGCTAACTTGGCTTGCAAGCTACGCCGTCTTGTGGTGCACGTTCGGGCGTGGTTATCGTCATGGTCTCGTGCCCACGTCACAGTAAGGTGTGGCGTGGTGCTACTGTGCCGGCCGTGGCGGCACTGTAGGCACAGTGGTGGTTCGCCAGCTGTCAGAGATATGGGTCAGGGGTATCTGCACCGCCCGTATATATGACCACCACCAAGCTATTGGCCTAGCAGCCGTCAAGGAGGAGGCCCACAAGGGCTAACGTGATCAACCAACGTGGAGATCAAGGCAAACCAAGGCGGACGTATCTGGACGATAGCTAGGATCAATCTGTTATAACAAACTAGGAAACAATCTGTTAGCCCGATCGCCCTCTCTGTAACCCTACCTCTCCTGCCTATATAAAGGAGGGTAGGGACCTTGGGCTCGGGACCGATCCAATCTTCCACCTATTCCATCTACCTAGTAGCTAGGAGCAACATGCCCTGTAATTGAGCATACAAATACAAGAGCAGCCGCACCACTAGAGTAGGGTTTAGCGCGCTCCGTGCCCTGAACCAGTATAAATCTCTGTGTCTCGTGTGCTACCATCTGATTTTGTCTACGCGATCACGTTGCTGGATATTGCCGGAGCAAAACAATCCAACACTAGCCGTCATGCGCGACGTGGTCTCCGCCGTGGCCTTTGTCATTGCCTCCTGATCTCCTGGGGCGTCATACAGGAGTTGGCAGCCGCCCTCAGGTCGTCGATCGCCGGGTTGGCTTGTGGAGTTGGTGGCCAGGATCCCGAGCTCTGGGGTCGTGGCCTCTGCCGGTTCGGGTGTCCGCTAAGTCAAGGCCTCCGTCGTGGATCCCATCCCGTAGCAGGCAGAGTTGTACGCGTGTCTTGTTGGACCATATTTGGACGGTGGGTCGTCGTACTGTCAGTTACCGTCGTGCGGCGTTGTCTTGTCCGTGCTGCGTGGGGCAGGGATGGCGTCTGACCGGACCGAGGTGACCGCTATCCCCTCGGTCCTTGCGGGGTCAATGCGGCGTGTCTGCTCTTGTCAGAGCGGGCACGCTTGGTTATGCTCGACCTTTCCCTGTTCCTCCCAGGGATCGAGATGGTGGAGAGGTCGTGGCCGACCCTGGTCTTGGCGTTTGGCCGGGTCCATTTGGCTTAGCTAGGAATCGATCGCTTGGGCTTTCGCTAGCTGAAGTATCGTGG